TGTCTCATGATCTGTGTTAATTCTCCCATTTTAAAGACATGCCAGGGATGGTGTAGATTGAATGTATCATTCTTATAATTTGAAAATGTTGTTGCGCTTCGAATTGGTGGTAGCTGAAAGAAATCTCCGAAAACAAGTACACTGATTCCTGCAAAAAGTTCACTATTAGGTGTAACAAATATTTCTTTCAATCTCTGGTGAATATGCAGCAGACCCATGTTTGAGACCATTGATATTTCATCAATTATGATTAGTTTTAATTCAGCCAAAGACAATCTAATTTGAGTTCTTCTCTGGTCAGACATTGCAGGTACATTATTCCCACATTCTCTTGGAATTGCTAGAGCAGTGTTTACGGTTGTTCTGTTGATATTTATGGCAGCTACACCAATTGGAGCCATTAGCAATACAGAAGGTAATTCAGGATTCATTGGAGCATGTCTAAATGTTTTTGTAACAGTATGATATATAGCTTTAATTAAGTGTGATTTCCCTGCACCTCCACCTCCAGTAACAAAAACATGTATCAGATCTACTTTAGATGGTTTAAGGGTGTTTAAGTTGGCCATCTTATTTCTACACCAGGAAAGAACTATGTCATATGCATAACACGTTGTTTGTTGTTCAATGATATTACAGTTTTTCGTAGATCGTCGTCACTGATTTCTAAGGGTTGATTATAAGAACTTATTCCAGAAGATGGTTGACCTGATTCAGGATTTGATGCAAGATGTTGTGGCAACGATTCGTTAAAAGACTCGGTTTCATCAGAATCGTCAGGTAAACTTTGTCGCAAATCTTCATTTTCCTGGTCATTTATTGGATCATAGGAGTGAGTTGGTATGCCATCAAAGTTTCGTAACTTTCTAATGCTTCATTAATAGCATCACCATCTGGCTCAAATATTTCTTTGTTGCATTGTACTACCTCTTGAACATCTGGCTCATAAAACTTAGATATGTATGTCTGGTCTTCGCCAAAGAGTTCCTGCTCATTACGCCACGGAAAATACAACATGAGAAGGTGGTGAAAATATTTTTCAGGCTCTTTTCTTCTGTTCGGAGTGTGATATCGAATGACAGCTTTAATTTTTCTGCACTTCATAATTTCTTTGCTATTTACAAGTTTTATTCGATCGGGAAGTCCAGTGTTATGATTTTCGATATTTTGAGATTCAATGAAGTCATCGCTTAACACTTCAGGTTGAGAATCAGATACTTCGTTAAAATCACTTTTGTAATCTTTGAAATAGTGAGCAGCAAATAAAGCTAAACACATATCATTAACGGCAGGAATATTTTTTGGTCTGTCACTGTAACAGACAATAATGTTAGACTTGAAAATATCAGTATTATCATCATCTAACTCATCAAGTTCTTGTTGTTTCTTCGGAAATCTAACGCGATTTTCAGCAAAATCCGTGCTAACAAAGAGGGTTTTCGGGAATATTTTTCTTAACCAGAGTTCAGGGATACATCTGTAAACGCATTCTTGAGCACTGACTTCACGAGTTGAGAGAAAAGCTGCACCTATTTTTCTTAGGCCATCTCTTACATTTAAGTTGGCTTCTTTAGCCTCCTTTGCTGCATTTATGATGGCTTGAGAACATTCAGTTTCATCCTTTGTAAAGTAAGAACAAACGTATGTGATACACTTATAATGATTAAACACTGGTTGCAAGTCAACATTTGCAGCAAATCCTTTTAACCCAGCAATAAAGTAATTGTTGATAAAACAACTGTCTATTGGTCGTTTCAGGTGCAATTCATGGTCCGAATCTGGGGATATCGATAAAGCCCATTGATAATCTTGCTCTGTTATATCCATTTTATTTAGAATGTCAATTGGAGTTGCATGTGGGTCATAAGTAGGTTTGCTTGGGTTTAGCACATCATCAATTCTTTGTTTAACTTTAGACAAAATTTCCTTTCGTCTGGTTAGAATATTGGACTTAATCTCATCATCCATATCTTCAGCCAAAGGTTCAGCAAGAATTGTTCTGTCAGTAAAAAACTGTCCAAAGTTAAATCTACATGTAACATTCTTATACTTTCTACAGGTTTTACTGTGATTATGTGTCTGGTACGTTTTTACCAAGTCGTAAAGTGAGGATTTGTTTCTTTGTCTGGGAGGTATGCTTGTACATGTTGGTCAACGTAATCTATGTATGCATCTTTTGTATCGTTCATTAATTCTGGGCAATCGGATGTCCATATTAAGGCGTGCAAATGTGGTGAACCTCTCATTTGAAATTCGATACGGAGTGCATAATATACTATCTTACCAATTGGGTTTGCATTTGTGAGCAAAACATCCCTGAAAAATGTTTCGACTCGATACTGGAAATGTTTAGCTACAATAACTGGATTTAAATTTAACATTGAGCATCGCTCATGATACGACAAAGCCTCTACTTCTTCACTTGTTATATTGTTGCCTTTTGTTCTTGCAATTATCTGAAATAGCTCAGGCCATCTTAAATCTGCACACGATAAGGTCATGAACCATGTTGGTATTCCCAGCTGTTTAATCATTGCTACCACTTGCCAGTAAGGAGGTGAGCCAGGTATTTGTCATAAAAACAAATATGCTTGATCTTGCAAAAGAAGATTTTGAAAACCTTGACTGTTTGATTAAACTTGTGATGCTGTGACTGACTGGCCATGTATTTTCTTAAGAGCTATATTAATACTATTAGAAATCTTTTTCTGTTCCATAATGAATTGTGCAAAGAATAGATACTCTGGATTGGTTGCAAATTTTCCACTATAATGCAAGAGGCGAGCATTGAAATATTTTATTGGCTTATGTCTCGTTCAGAGGTGTAACCAAATAATCGTCCCTTCGGAAAGAGTACTGGAAATGAAAGTTCCTCACAAAGCTTATCAGTCATCAATGATACTGGGTGTTTACCTTCACCTGGTGCAATGTTGAAAACTTCGCTACCTGTTGAATTACAGTTTGTATTGTCCAGGTTTACAGGATAATTTGGCAAGATGGACTGAAGACAGGTTTTGCTTGCTGCTGAACGGTGTTCATTTAATGGATCATCTTGTTCTTCAACATCTTCATTACACAGTTCTCTATTTACATTACTTTGCAACTGCAATGGCTCATCTATATTTTCTTGATCAGTATCAGGACAGTTCAAATTAGTTAAGTCTGGGCTAATATTGTCACATTGAATTTCAATGTTTCTATATAAAGGGTTGTTTGCTATAAGCCAGTTTAATGCACTAATTACAAACTGAGGGCGAACTGCTTGGAAGTAAACATGACCTCTAAATTGAAGTTTCCTTTTTAATTTAAGTAAAATTATCCCAGATCTGTCAGGTGATCTGGGAAGAACATTGCACGTTTGACTACATTCAACTGGTACATTGCATATTGCACCTTTAATTTTTCTTTGTTGTCCTTTTGGCATTACTACAATTTTTTCAAAGACTATTCTTTGCGCAATAAGAATTTGTTCAAGTTTCTCTAATGCAGCAAGTTCAGTGGGAGTTTCATCAATAAATAAATTGTTTACCACAGCTTGACAAGGCTGTCGACCTTTAAGTAGTTTAGCATGGCAAGTTTTGCAGATGTACTCTTTGCTATCAAAAGAATTTTGACACATAAAACAATCCTGGCGAGGATATTTATTTTTCTGTAGGATCACTAATGACTTTTTATATAATGTTCGGTTACAGACACAGCATATGTAAAATGGGCCAGCTTCAGTGTATGTATCAATATCATGAGTTAGAGATTTCTTTTCCATCCGTTTTTCTTTCTCTCTATTCAGCAAATTGTTTTTTTGTTTTGGAACCAGTGACATGCGATTTGACATGATTTTGCTTGAATTGATAGCAGTGAACTCCTTTTTCCTTGATATATCCATTGTTTGATATTTGGCTTTCTTCTTCTCTAATGGTTTCTGTTTTTGTTCTTCTCCCATTGTTTTCTTATAATTCATATTTTTAGCAAGCAGTTCCTCTTTCTTTGATTGATCCATTGCTTCATACTTTATTCTTTTATTCTCCTGTACTTTTTGCTTTTGTTCTTTACTCATTGTTTATTTATAATTCATATTTTTAGCAAGCAGTTCCTCTTTCTTTGATTGATCCATTGCTTCATACTTTATTCTTTTATTCTCCCGTACTTTTTGCTTTTGTTCTTTACTCATTGTTTCTTTATAATTCATATTTTTAGCAAGCAGTTCCTCTTTCTTTGATTGATCCATTGCTTCATACATTACTCTTTTATTCTCCCGTACTTTTTGCTTTTGTTCTTTACTCATTGTTTCTTTATAATTCATTTTGTTAGCAAGCAGTTCCTCTTTCTTTGATTGGTCCATTGCTTCATACTTTACTCTTTTATTCTCCCGTACTTTTTGCTTTTGTTCTTTACTCATTGTTTCTTTATAATTCATATTTTTAGCAAGCAGTTTTTGTTTTTTCTCCTTCGCCATCGTTTTGTATTTCATCTGCTTTGTATCTAGCTTCTGTTTCTTTAGAGCTGGTTCAATGAAGTCATTTATATAGTTTTGTCTGTGTTTTTTCATAATCCTTTTTCTTCCACAGTTGGTTAATTCAGAAGAACAAGCCAAGAATTGAATTTCAAAATTGACAATTTCATCCTTGATTTTGGTGGTTACTAGGTTAAAGATAGCATCAACTAAAGTGTGCTTGTCTTTTATGTTTTTAATGTAATGTGTAGTACATGTAGGTGAACTATCATCATCATATGCTAATATTGAGTATGACATGTTCTTAATTGATGTCTTTTGAAAAATGCAAGAAATACAATAATCTCCAATCCACATTAAAAACCCTGTGTTTTCATTAGTATGACAAATAAGGCTTTCAATGTATGGTTTTCTTTTTGCCTTGTCATTAATTACACCTTGAATGTTAGCGTGCAATTTTACATGTATTTTAGTTCCACATCGTACTGTTAGCGTGCAATTTTACATGTATTTTAGTTCCACATAGTACTTCTACAATATTTATTCCTCTTAGCTCAAATTGATTGTTTTCACTGTACAAAGACTGGAAATACAGAATTACATTGTTGATATTTGGTGCCTCTAACAGTACACATGTACCTTGTGGATGACTTCTGCCATAAATATCTCTTGAATGAGAGTCAAAAACTTTATACTTGCCATCATTGGTGGAAAATATGCAAACAGCATTAGAGTCAATTGTTAAAATGAATGCACAATAGTGTTCAGCCAGGAGCATTTCAAATGATCTGTCAAATGGAACACAATACTGATACCCTTCAATCGAACAGTCTCCTATTATGTTACCGCCATAGCTCTCACTGTGCTCTAAAACAAAATCTGTGTCAAATACTGTAAGTTGTGAAGGCAATTCTGTAAACAATAAGAACGATTGTCCTGCTAAACATGACAAGTTTGAATACAGTTCATTACCAATATTCATTATATTAATCAGGTCTTGTGGTGATGAAATGTTCTGCCTTTTGTTGTATATAAGGGCACATAAACACATTGCTAAACACTGCTGTCCTGCTGTTTCTCCAAATATAATCTGATTACCTTGGCTATATGGTGCACTGATTGTCTTGCTGGGATCAATATAGAATACAGGCCCAGGATTTGTTTCAATATCTGTACATAATGCTGACTGATAGACATTCTTTAAGTGATTGACATTTTTGTACACTTGTTGCACATATAAATCATGAGTCGAACCTGATGAATAGAATATATCTAAACCTGACGTGATCGCCAGCGTGAGCTGCGCGCGCGACTGAGCTCCGTAAATTACGTGGAATTTTTGCATCTTTCTTTGGATTTTTAACAGCATTACGCTGCAGAACTGTGAATAAAGTTGTCTACGTGGATAATATAAGGTATTTTTACGAATATTCCGAACAGTTGCTGAATAATTGGTGCTTTTTCGTTGGTATTTGCACCGAATTTGGATTTTCAGTTATTTTTTCCGGTATGCGCAAGTGGAGGACCGTTGGCTGATGAGTACAATCGAGCACGCCATTGCGCGCGCTTGAATTAATTGAGTGCATGCTTCGAAAAGAACATTGAATTAGAACAAATTCAAACAATTGTGTGAAAATTCAAGATGTTTTTAACTAAATTCAGCTACATTATTATATTTCTGTGGATTATTTTTCGACGTAATTAATTCGACTGCACTTGTTTCAACCTGACACAGTTGGTCGATAAACCCGCCAGAATTACTGAACATTCCCGTACATTGATTGATGTAATCCTTACCTCTTCAAAGAATAACATCAAGCAAACGAAAGTCATTCCGAATTCAATAAGTTATCACGATGTGGTTATGTCAATCCTGACCCTGAAGAAATGTCGTCCAAAGCCCGTCTACGTCTCTGTCCGAAGTTTCAAGAATTACAACCCAGAGGCCTTTTGTGAGGACATATCTAATGCTCCATGGTCCGTCATTAACAATTTTGACGATATCAATGACAGTTTGAATGCTTTTGATGTGTTATTTAATGGGATTCTTGATCAACATGCACCAGTCAGAAAAGTTAAAGTGAGAGTTCGTCCAAATCCCTTTGTTACAGAAGAGATTCGAAAGCTGATGAGAACAAGAGATTGTTGGAGAAAAATAGCTCGGAAAACTGGTGATCCTGCTGCGTGGTTTACTTACACGGACTACAAACGGGATGTTAAACGGAAATTACGTCAAGCACAAAGATCGTATGTAGAGCAGGAAATAAAGAAGAACCCAAAGGACACAGGCAATATGTGGAAAGTGATTCGAACATGTATTCCCAAGAAAACTACTGGAAAGAAGTCCTTCAGTAATGATAAATCTGTTGCAAATAACTTTAACGAATTTTTTACAGCTGTCGGTTCAAACACTGTCATGAAAATTAAGTCACTTGCTAAAGAAAATAATTACACTTCCTCCCAATTACCATTTGTCCCAGCCAGTTACACCGAGTTGGATCAGTTTACCTTTGAACCTGTGGAATGTTCCTTAGTAGAATATATTGTGAAGTCAATGCCTGATCACAAGGCACCAGGAATAGATAAAGTACCTATTCGCGTTATCAGGGACTGTCTTCCCGTTATTGCACCATGGATTACCTCCGTCATAAACAAATCGTTAGTCAACAATATTTTTCCAAGTGCTTGCTTGGAAAATTGCTGAAGTAATCCCCATTCCGAAAGAAGGTGATCATGAGCAAGCCAATAACAACAGACCAATTTCCCTCCTACCCGTTCTTTCTAAGGTATGCGAGAGAGTAGCACTCAATCAACTAACCTCCTACCTAACCATCAATCGTCGCCTCTCTGTGCATCAGAGTGGCAACAAAACCTGGCACTCAACGGAAACCTCCCTCATCCATTCCACCGACTCCATTCTCAAAGCAATCGACCAGAAGAAAGTCACGGCAGTTATTCTTTTGGACATGAGTAAAGCCTTTGACAGCATTAATCACAATATACTTCTTGCTAAATTGGAGGATGTTGGCGTTTCACCTTCATGCCTGACTTGGTTTAGAAGTTATCTGAGCGAAAGATATCAAGCAGTATGCATAAATTCTACTCTATCTGAGAAATTGCCAGTGTGGTTAGTGGTGTCCCACAAGGAAGTATTCTCGGTCCGTTGCTGTTCAGTATTTATGTCAATGATCTACCGTCTGCCACTAAAACGTGTTCCTCTGAATCGTATGTTGACGATACTAAACTCCTGTCCTTCCATATCAATGACTCTAATGCTGCTCTGGTTGATCTGAATGAAGATTTAATTAGAATTCGAAATTGGTGTTTCGACAACTTGCTCTTGCTCAACCCAGGCAAGACCAAATTGATGGTCTACGGAAGTCGTCAAATGCTCACAAGGCTACCTGAATTTAGACTCTCACTACTCGGTAAAGAACTAACACCTGCTGCAACAGTCAAAGATCTGGGAGTTACGTTTGACCCAATCCTCTCCTTCGACAACCATACCCTTTCCACCGTCTCGTCCTGCAAATCAAGCCTCTGTCAGATAAATCGAGCTAAACACGCCTTCAATAAAAATCTGTTAGTAACTGTAATCAATGCTTTGGTTTTCAGCAAGCTCTACTATTGTTCTTCACTTTGGTCAAACACTTCCAGCAGTAACCTATCCCGCCTTCAAGGGGTCCAGAATTTCGCAGCACGAGTAGTGACGAATACAAGAAAGTTCGACCACATCCCGTGAAATTGCATCTCTACTATCGTGATGCTCTACTAGCCTTCAAATGCATGAACAATTGTGTCCCCAACTACTTGTCGTCCCAGTTAATAACCAGAGGTGAAGTGAGCTCTCGTGAGACACGAAATGTATGTACGAAGTCTGGATGTTCCATTGTACAAAACAGCTACTGGACAAAGAACATTCCATTATCGAACTGTCACTCTTTGGAACAACATTAGCCTTGACTTAAGTCGGTGCTTAACTCATTAACTGGCAATGCGCCCGGATGCGCCCTGAGATTGGCAAGTGGGTAACTGGCAATGCGCCCGCATACGCCCTCAAATGACACCTCAACTTGCGGGCATGATATTTGAGCACGTGTTTATCGGGTTGCCTAGCAACGGATACGAAAATAGAACGTGAAATTCGAGCTTTTCAACGGTGTATCATGCAAGAAAATCGGTCAGAAACTCGCAAAGTTTTTCAAGTTTAAAATCTTAGTTTTCCAAAAATAATGAATAATGGCGATTCTGTTACAAAGAAAGATTTTACAGCAAGTTTTAAAAGCAAGAAAAGAAGAGGTTTCTGAATCAACTACAACGAAAATTTGGCATGAAAGGAAAGCGAATGTATTGACGTTTTGGGGCCAAGTTTTTCTGTGAACCATGCGCGAGATTTTCAGCCAAAAAGATGAGGATTTCTCCAAACTTTATTAAAAATAGAAGTCGGAAATCACAAGAAAGATGAACACGGAACACAAGTGAGCAGATACGATTTTTAAAGGGTATTTTTGAGTAGAAATATGCGATCAAACACTCACAAAATTCGACCGCATTAATTTTGGTTGAATCTAGTTTAAAGTTATCTTTTTAGACGAACTGTTTATGCAAATTTGGGCGCAACTTTGACTGTTTTCGTGACCCCATTGTTGGTCTTCTTGTTCAAGTTGTTATTTTAGCTATAGTATATTTCAAACGACACTTACTGTGTGCGTACGTGACCTTCTTGACCTTTTTGGCAAGAATACTTCGAGTATTAAATTACACTAAATAAGTAGGATATTCCAAAATCACCGTTATATCTATTTTCATCAATTAAAGTGTTAAAATGACAACTCGTTTCAGACATATTGTGGTTTAAAATAAGTGTATTGAATAAACGCGCTTGCTTGCCGCGTGCGAATATTCAAAAAGTCCGCACTTGAATTGTAAAGCTTTCAAAATGCATTTTTACTGTTTTTTTATATCCCCTATAAAACTTTAAATCGATAAAGCAGATAATAACGTTGATGCAACATCATTTTGTAGTAACTACACGTTGAATCAGAAGGAAAAGTTATCAAAATAGGTCGCGACGGTTGTTTGCAAAATGTTGCTTCTCCCTGAAATGGCTTCCTTTGTGGGAAGCCATGAAATTGAAGTCCTAACAAAAACTAACCTTAGCAGTTCTTTTGGGCCCATCGCTCCCTTATTTATCATGAAATCGCTTCACTAGAACATTTTTAATAATGTCTATGGGAAACTTTGTAATTTTCTGAACTAAAAGTTTATGGTTTTGAGGTGTTTATTTTATAAAATAGCACGCGCAACAAAATGGCACTAATGTGGTTTCTCACGTCTGACAAACAACCAAAGATGAAAGTTCTTATTTCACCCTTTTATAGCTATGTGGAATACCTGAATATTAGGTTATCTTTTTCATGTGAGGATATAGATAACATTTCTACACAATAGTCCTTATGAATTAAGGCTTATTTCAAACTCAAAAAATGAGATTGTATTTCAGAGCCAGACTTCAAAAGAAACCGCCTGTCAAACATTTTATAGCAGCCTACATTGGCGCGCAAAATAATTTTGGCTTTTAAACCGTTGCTTTCCCAATAGAAGCATGAAAATATTGAGCTAAAAGTCTTACCTGACATGTGTTTAAAGTGTTTTTCTCTTTATGATGCTTTTCAGCGCTTTGAGTACACAAGTGAATAGCTTTTAGTTTTGTCACCGCAGAGTGCCTTTCAAAATGTCGGCCTGTCATTGTCTGTGTTAAAAACACCTCAGAAAATTCCCATTTTCTCACCTTCCCATCCTTGGTTTATATTAAAATAAATAAATTTAAGCACTATGTGTCTTTTTAAATATATTTGAAGCAATCAAAAAACTTTAAAGATGTACAAACACTGTGTTTTGGCTTGCACACTTTGTTGAACTTGAACACTTAGTTACTGTTCTAAATTTCATGTTGTAAACAAGATGCCCCAAAAAAGCAAAGAAGTAATTTTTAAATTTTTTGATAATTTCATAATTCATATCCCAAAAGATGAAAATTGGTTGTAATATAGATATGTATTAATTTAGTAAATGATTTTTTTTTTGTTTTTATATAAATTTGTGGAGATATTGCCCCTTTAGGTGATGAGTGACATGAAAAACAAAGTGTCACTGCTTTATAAATAAAAATACTGACTGAAAAAACTAATGATATATATAGGTATGCAAGGACATCTAAACTAAATTTGGTCAATCATATATCATTCATGTTTGGTTGAAAAGATCAGACTTTTTTATTCAATTGTTTCTGAGATATTGCCATTTTGGTGAAAGCTTGGAATTCAATCATGAATTCGCCATATTGCTTGCCACTTTAGGGGGTGGTAACATTGTAACAGCTTGCCAGTTAATGAGTTAAGTCTATTTCAAACTTTAAGTTAAAACTAAGACATAAACATCTCCAGCAATTCCTGGATAGTTATTAAGTACTTGTTTTCAGTAGTTAATCAATAAGCGTTGTCGATGTTACTGTTGTTGTGTTATCATCATCGCTGTTGTTCTGGTTCTTGTTGTTGTTGATGTCCCTGTCGCTGTTTTTGTGAAATTGTCCTTGTTTGCTAGTAATGTGTTTCAATAACATTGATTAGGACTAAATGTAGTAATAATACAGCAAGTTTGTAATTTTTGTCACTGAAAAGCCCCTTCAGGGGAGTGTCAATAATGTCAATAATCAATATCTGCAAGAATTCCTTCGCAAATATAAAATTTTAAATCGTTTGCTGAATGTTTTGTTTGGCATCTCTTTTCAACCTTTTTCGGGCAGTAAACATCAGGGATACACTTCATCCTAATGTCTTGACAATGCATAATATTTTCTACTATACAATGAAGATGAGAGGATCTGGGTACAGACCTTTTGATGTTATGTCTAAGGCGTTTTCTCAACAATCGACTTTTCCCAAACTTCCTAGTTAACCATTTTATCTGTATTCTGCTGGGTTCACGGTCACGGTCACGTAAATGGCAGCCAGTGGTAGTAATGTCAGTAACATGCTTTTGTGTGCAGACATTACAAAATAATGCATGCCGTGATCGCACTGGAAGTTTCTTTATACGCATAGGATTGAGCTTTGACAGACCTTTAATTTCAATATTCTGGTTATTCAATTTAGAAATACAGTTGTTAATAGACATATTTATACCTGACATCCATTGATCTGTGGACACATTCTTGTTTTCCATATCATCCTTGCTCCAAAGCGTGGAGAAATTCTTGGTTGGTGTCTGTTCAGATGCTATCACATTGTCAATGTCCTTTGTAGCTTTTCTACTGGTGGCCATGTTGTCCATGTGCTCGTTAACAGTACAGCAACGTGATTGTGAGTTTACGTTTGTTTTTTGTAAATTTGTCTGTGTATTATTCATCACTTCAGTAGTACTTTTGTCACATTTTTGTTCACTTTTTGTATAATATTTTTGGCAACTTTTTGTGTATTTTTGGCGGTTGTTTATGCAAGTTTTTACGTACCCGAAGGTATTTTTCGATTCGTGGATAATCGACCCGGTTCGAAATCGCTCAGCATCTTTTAGTGTAGGTCTACCACGAATAGGTGCAGAGTCATGCGAGGTGAGCGTATTTGAAATTAAATCACATTCACTTACTGTAAACATAGTCGAAAAGATTGCTTTCTTCCCAAAATATAAAACAGCAACAAACACTCT